TGCCAATGTGCGTAACCCCATTGTCTCACCCTCATCCTTGAGGATCTGCCATTGCGACCTCACTTTTCCCACGCCGACGGCCTCATCTCTTTATATTTAATTTTTATTTCTTCACACCCTGGACTCGGCTAATTCATCCACCGCCGAGCAATTTATATTTTCGGAGACAGCAGACAGAGCTGCAGACGGGACAAAGGTTAAGATCCCGGGGGACTGCGAAGAGATGGATTTTTAGCTTGAAGACACAGAGGAAAAAAAAAAAAAAAAAAAAAAAAAAAAAAAAAGAAAAATCATTTTTATGTGCCCAAAAATAGAGCCCTGGGGCTAAATTAAAACTCTTGACGGAAACACAGATTAAAAGGTTGAATCGTGTGCTTAGCAGATTTCCTGCCAGAAAATAACGACAGGTCATTAAAAAATAAGAGCCGGGGGCGCGTGGAGGCTCAGGCCCGTCGTCCCGGCACTCTGGGAGGCCGAGGAGGGAGGCTCGTTTGAGGTCAGGAGTTGGAGGCCGGCCTGAGCAAGAGCGAGACCCCGTCTCTACTTAAAAAAATTAGAAAATAAATTAATTGGACAATTAAAAATATATAGAAAAAACGAGCCGGGGGCGTGGAGGGGCATGCCTGGAGTCCGCCAGGCGTACGTCGGGGAGGGAGAGGGTGAGGCAGGAGGATCGCTGGAGGCCGGGAGGGTCGAGGCCAGCTGAGGCAAGAGCGAGACCCCGCCTCGCTCTACTAAAAAAAAAAATTAGAAAGAAAAGATTGGACAAACTACACAATAGATAGGAAAAAATTAGCCCAGGCCTGGTCAGCCAGCACTCTGGGCGGAGGGCAGGGGAGGGATGCCTCAATTGAGCCAGAGAGGAGTTGGGAGGGCCAGCCGTTGGAGCAAGCAGCGAGACCCCCGTCTGCTTACTAAGAAAAAAATAGGAAATAATTGGAGCAATTACAAATTATATAGAAAACGGAGTCCGGGCGGTTTGAGGCGCCCAATGCCTGTAGTCCCAGTACCCGGGAGGAGGCTGAAGGCAGGGGAGGATCGCTCGAGGCGGGAGTTGAGAGGCTACTGTGGAGCGAGCCATCGCCGCGGCACTCACCTCTCGAACCGGGCGACAGAGACTCTGTCTCCCCCCAAAAAAAATTAAAGAAAAAGAATCCACTAAGAGTAAAGAAGAAGGATAGCTGGATCTGCAACCGTCACTCACGCATCCAGCCTCCCACGGCGGGGCCTGGACGCGCGGAGGAGCGTGAGGCCACACTGCAAAGGGCTATAAAATATGCGGCGTTGTGACGCCCAGTGTTTGCAAACAGAGGCCGTCTGCTGCTGCGGTGTGACAAAATTTGGCAGGAGCGACAGCTGTCTTCCGCTGTCCCCAGAGCGTTTTTTTTTTTTTTTCAGTTGCAAACTTATCGCGCACATCGGCTGCCTCCAAGGGAGGCTTAGAGGCCTCAGAGAAGGGCGAGGCCACGAGAGTATACGGAAAGAGGGACTGGTAGCTCCAAGTACCCGGGGAGGGAAAATGCCCTAGTAGACTGTTTTCAGGAAGGTTGACGGTTTTTAGAGGCCCCAGGAAGGGAGCGCCAGGCGAGGGGGTAATGAGAGGGACTGAGCTCCAGCCCTACCCGCGGGTGAGGGCAGATGTCTGTCCTGTTTCAAGGGAGGTTGAAGTTTAAGAGGGGCCCCAGAAGTGGAGGCCAAGCGAGGGGCCCGCCGCCCGAGGAGGGGGACTGAGCTCCAGTACCCACGGGAGGAAATCCTGTGACTGTTTTCAAGGGAGTGGAGGTTTAGAGGCCCCAGAAAGGGAGGCCAGCGAGGAGTACGAGAGGACGGACTGAAGCTCCAGGACCCGGGGAGGAAAAACCCTCGTGCTGGTTTTCAAGGAAGGTTGAGCTTAGAGCCAGCCGCGAGCCAGCGAGAGTAACGAGAGGGGACTTGAGCTCCAGTAACCCCGGAGGAGGAAAATCCTGTAGTGTTTCAAGGGGGATGACGGCTGTGTTGGAGGTTTAGGAGGGGCCCAGGTAAAGGCGGAGGCCAGCAAGGGGGGTAACGGAGGGGCACTGAGCCTCCAGGACCCAGGGGAGGAAAAATCCTGTGGGTGTTTTCAAGGGGGTTGAAGGTTTACAGGGGGCCCAGAAGGAGCAGGGCCAGGGCCGGAGTGTGTACACGAGAGGGGATCTGAGCTCCAGTACCCGGGGGAGCGAATTCCGCTGCCGTGTTTTTGAAGGGGGAGTGGAGCCGGGCCTCCCGCCCGCGTTTAGAGGCCCAGGAAGGGAGTCGCAGCGAGGAGTTAACGAGAGGGACATGAGCTCAGGTACCCCGGGAGAAAAATCCTGTGGTGTTTTCAAGGAAGTTTGAGGCTTTAGAGGCCAGAAGGGAGGCTCGAAAGAGTAACGGAGAGGGACTGAGCTCCAGGTCCCCGGGGAGGGGCAATCCCGTGCTGTTTGAAGGAGGGTTGAGGCTTAGAGGCCCAGCAAGGGGAGGGCTCTCCGAGAGCTAATGGGAGAGGGACTGGGAGCTCCCAGTACCTGGGGCAGGGCCAAAGAATCCTGTCCCTGTTTTCAGCGGAAGTTCTGGGACCGGTTTAGGGAGGCCGCCAGGAAGGGAGGCTCGCCAATAGTAACGAGAGGACCGGAGTCGCAGTACCCGGGGAGGAAAAACCCTGTGCTGTTTTCCAAGGGAGTTGAGGTTTAGGAGGGCCCAGAAGGAGAGGCTCTCCGAAGGGCTAATTGAGAGGGACTGAGCTCCGTACCCGGGGAGGATAAAACCTTGTGGTGTGTTTCAAGGAGAGTTGAGGCTTAGAGGCCAGAAGGAGGGCCAGCAGAGAGTAAACGAGAAGGGACTGAGCTCAGTACCCGGGAGAGGAGAAAAATCTGTGTGTTTTCAAGGGGAGGTTGAGGTTTAGATAGGCCCACGGAGAAGGCGACGGCCAGGGAGGGTAACGATGAGGGACTGGCAAGGCTACCAGTACCACGAGGGAGGGGCAATCCCGGTGCTGTTTGAAGGTAGTTGAGGCTTAGAGGCCCAGAAGGGAGGCCAGCGAGAGTAACGAGAGGGACTGAGCTCCAGGACCCCGGGAGGAAAAATCCTGTCGTGTTTTCAAGATAGTTGAGGCTTAGAGGCCCAGAAGGGAGGCCAGCAAGGGTAATGAGAGGGACTGAGCTCCAGTACCCGGGGAGGGAATCCCGTGCTGTTTTGAAGGGAGTTGAGGCTTAGAGGCCCAGAAGGGAGGCCAGCGAGAGTAACGAGAGGGACTGAGCTCCAGTACCCCCGGGAGGAAAAATCCTGTGGTGTTTTCAAGGAAGTTGAGGTTTAGAGGCCCAGAAGGGAGGCTCGAAAGAGTAATGAGAGGGATTGAGCTCCAGTACCCGGGGAGGGAATCCCGTGCTGTTTTCACCAGGGTAGTGGGGGGCCCTGTCCTCCTTTTTTTTTTTTTTAGAGACAGAGTCCCGGGCTGGAGTGAGCGCCGTGGCGTCAGCCTCGCTCACAGCAGCCTCCACCTCCTGGCCTCCAGCGAGCCTCCCATGTTCTAGACTTGATATCTCTATTGATGCAACCCGATGTCACACTTGCTTTTCTTTCTTTAATTTTTTTTTTTAATTTTTTGTTCCTTTTTGCAGCTGGGTGTGACTGGCCTCGAGCGAGCCTCCCGCCTCGGCCTCCCTCCCGAGGAGCTGGGACGACAGGCGTGCGCCTCCACGCCCGGCTCGTTTTTTTCTATATATTTTTTATTGTGCAATTAATTTCTTTCTGTTTTTAGTAGAGACGGGGTCTCGCTCTTGTGCTCAGGCTGGCCTCGACCTCCTGACCTCCTCCAGCGATCCTCCCGCCTCGGCCTCCCGCCTCGGCCTCCCACCAGAGTGCTGGGATCGCAGCCGTGAGCCACCACGCCCGGCCTGAACTCTGCTTATTTTTCATCAAGATCACCTCGTTTCACGGCCGTTAAAAACCATGGCGTCGATAAAAAAATTATATTCCCATGTGAAAAGCGCGGCACAGAGACGTCAAGACACCTGCCCGAGGTCACACAGCCAGGAAGTCGGTGTTAAGAGCTGCAACCTGCAAAATGGAAACACAAAGAGCGCTTTAATAACGCTTATCTCCTATATCCGTGTGAAAAATTCACTAACTAACGTGTGAAAGGCGTTATATTTAGATTTTTTTCCCCCCAATCCTGCTTGGAAGGACGCCCCCAAGATGGCGCCGACCTTCTTCCCCACCCCCACCGCCTCCTCCCAACCTCCTCCCTCAAGATGGCATTCAATTTTTATTTTTTATTTTTTATTTTATTGATTTATATATATATTTTTGCAACTTGCATTGCTCAGGAAAGGACGGCATTTATTATCATTAAAAGCAGAATCCCGCGCTTCTCCCCGCAAAAAAACGCTAGCCGTTGCAATTTTCCGCCCGTATCTAGAAAATTTCTAACGGTTCGCGTCAATAATTTACGCTATGACCTTCGCAAAATGGCGGCCGGCTCAGTATGCCTCACCTTTTGACCTTCCCAAGATGGCTTTTTTTTTTTTTTTTGCAATCTGCTTTACTCAGGAAGGGACGGCATTTATTATCATTAAAAGCAGAATACCACGCTTCTCCCCGCAAATAACGCTAGCCGTTGCAATTTTCCGCCGGTATCTAGAAAATTTCTAACGTTTCGCGTCAATAATTTACGCTATAACCTTCGCAAAATGGCGGCCGGCTTAGTATGGTTCACATTTTGACCTTGCCAAGATGGCTTTTATCTTATTTTTCTTTTTTTTTTGCAACCTGCATTACTCAGGAAAGGATGGCATTTACTGTCATTAAAAGCTGTATCCCGCCCTTCTCCCGGCAAATAACGGTAGGCGTTGCAATTTTCCGCCCGTATTCAGAAAATTTCTAACGGTTCGCGTCAATAATTTACTCTATGACCTTCACAAAATGGCGGCAGGCTTAGTATAGTTCACATTTTGACCTTCCCAAGATGGCTTTTTTTTTTTTTTTTTT